CTGGAGCACAGGAGGATCCCCAGGGATCTTTTCCCTCTCTGGAGTTCCCTGCCAGGAGGGGACAGGGACAGGGACAGGGACAGGAGCAGAGGGAACGGCCCCAGGGCAGCTCAGGGTGGGCACAGCAGGAATTTCCCCATGGAAAGGGGGTCAGACAATGGAAATGCCCAGGGAGGTGCTGGAGAACTGATCAGGAATTTCACCAAAATCTTTGGCTGAAGTTATTTTATGAATTAACTCTGAGTGCACAAAGCAGGTTTGGTGAGAAACCTGGGGGTTGATGAATGCTTCACGTGTGAGCTGATTTTATGCTTAAATAATTTACAATTTTTTAAACTAATGAGTGTTTTTCTCCCTGCAGGTTGACAAAGTTGCTGAGTTGGTGGCCAGGTGGTTCTACTGTGCCCTGAGCCAGGAGAAGCTGCGCCGGCCCATCGTGGCCTGTGAGCTGGGCAGGTGGGAATGTGCCAGGGACTCCTCAGGAGTTCCAATAAAAATTATAAATCCTAAATACAACGTTAAATAATGCTGTAAAAAATAAGTAAAATATATTTCAGTAATTTTACATGAAAATATAAAATAAATTAAAATTTTAAGTATAAATTCTAAATGCAAAATTAAATAATATATAATTACTTTAAATATATCGAAATCATTTTTAATGTAGTAATAATGTAATAATTAAATATTAATTATATAATGTATTGTAACATTATGTTAATATATTATATATTTCATTATAACTTTATATTAGCATATTAAAATAATTAAATAGAGAATTATAGAATTTATTATATAATTTAATTTAATTGAGTAATAATTTAATTAAGTTTATTAATAATTAAACTTATAGATAGAAAATTATAAATACAAAATTAAATAATATAAATCTAATACAGATATATTAAAACAAATTTTAATGTTGTGTATTAAATATTAATTATATATTATAGCATTATATTAATATAGTAAAACTACTTAAATATAAAAATATAGAATAAATTAAAGTTATAAATGTAAAATTATAAGTACAAAACACTGTGGCAACCCAATATAACCCTGGGGATTTTTCTGTTCCAGGCTGTACAACAAAGATGCCATCATTGAATATTTGTTGGACAAGTCCCCTGATAAAACCCCCATGGAATCTGCATCCCATATCAAAAGCATTAAGGTAAACACCTTGTGTTTAACTTGGTGAGAAGTTAAAACAAAAAGTTAAATCCGGGGGTCATGCTGAAAAATCTCCATTTGCTTGTGCTCCCACTGTGGATTAAAGTGTTCAAACAACAAAACACAACGGCAAAAATGTTAAGGATTGTTATAAGGATGGCTCAGAAATCACAGGGAAAAAAGCTCAAGGTTTCACAGAATTCCCAGAATGACCAGGTTGGAAGAGACTTTCCAGATCATTGAGTCCTGCCCAGCCCCAGCACCTCAACTGAACCCTGGCACCCAGTGCCACATCCAGGCTTTGTTAAACACACCCAGGGATGGGGACTCCAGCACCTCCCTGGGCAGCCATTCCAGGACTTTATCACCTTTCTGGAAAAAAACCTTTTTCTAAAATCCAGCCTAAATTTCCCTTGGCTGGTTGTGTCAGTGCTGCTGCAGACAGAGCCCAGTCCAGCTGAGCACAGGCCCCTTTCAGGAGCTCTGCAGAGTGCTGGGGGCAGCCCTGAGTCTCCTTTCCTGCAGGCTGAGCACCCCCAGCTCCCTCAGGGCTTCCTCCCAGCGTTTGTGCTCCCAGCCCCTCTGTGTCCTTCCCAAACTGAGGGCCCAGGGCTGGCACAGCACTCCAGCTGTGCCCCCAGCAGTGCCCTCCTGTTTCTGCTGCAGGTTTTGTGTTTTTCCTTTGCAGAACGTGACAGAGCTGCAGCTGGTGGATAACCCAGCCTGGTGTGGGGACAAGGAGAGCATCAAGGGGGACAAGTACGACGACCTGCAGGCTGCACGCTTCATCTGCCCCGTGGTGGGGCTGGAGATGAACGGCAGGCACAGGTCAGGCTCTGCCAGCTGCACCCAGAGCAGGGAAACTGCCTGGGAGTTAACCCAGGGCTGGGGGGGAATGTCTGCCTGGCAAAGGAAACACTTTTGTCTTGGTAAATTGTTGAATTTTGTAAGGTTTAATCTCATATTGCTGCTTTCAATGCTCATTTTGTTTTGTCCTAATGGCTTTGTTTCCTCTTGGCAGATAGTCATTTATTTTTAATGAGGGTTTTTTTGTTTGCATCTAAATTTTTGTTGATGGATGGGTGTAACCAGAGCATAAAATTCAGGAGTGAGATGTTTTGTCCAGGGTTTGCCCAGTCTGATCATTTTATAAAAACCAAATGAATCTCACCTATTTTTCCCTGGCCTTTTTTTCAGTAATGAGTATTTAGCTTTAAAGCTTGAACTTTCAGAGCTCAAGAGGCTTCTGGGTGTTCTTTCATGGTATATTTAAGAGGAAAGATAAAATTAATATTTTCCTGAATGAATTGAGATGTGTAATGAAGGAGAAAGGGCAGTGTTGGCAGAGGAAAATGCCTAAAGGTTGTTTGGGGGCTGAAGCACAGGAGATGGGATGTCACCTCCCTTGGAGTCACACCAAGGAGTTGGAATCATGGATTGATTTGGGTTGGGAGGGACCTTAAAGCTCCTCCAGTGCCACCCCTGCCCTGGCAGGGACACCTCCCACTGTGCCAGGGGGCTCCAAACCCCTTCCAGCCTGGCCTTGGGCACTGCCAGGGATCCAGGGGCAGCCACAGCTGCTCTGGGCAAGGATATTCCTGCTCAGTATCCCATCCATCCCTGCCCCCTGGCAGTTTGAGGCCATTCCCTGGGTGCTGTCCCTCCATCCTCCTCCTCTCTCCATCTTTCCTGGGGCTCCTCCAGGCCCTGCAGGGCCACACTGAGCTCACCCCAAAGCTTCTCCTCTCCAGGTGAACAATGCCAGCTTTCCCAGCCTTTCCTCACATTCTGTCTCTCCCTGTGTCAGGATCACACTGGAGATGGATTCTCTGTCCCAGCCCTGCAGTAAATCTGTATTTTACTGCTCTGGGGCAGGAGATTTCCTCACAGCCTGGTTGGGGCAGAGCAGCAACTTCTGGGTCACCTGAGGGATGAGAAGAGGAGGAGTTCACAGCTAATGGTTGCAAAGAATTTCCTCCTCCAGAGAGGGATTAGCCAGGAGATACTCAAGATAAAAATCCAGAATACCTATTGAGGTTTAATGTAGCCAATACTTTTCATTCATTTTTTACATTGTGCAAATTAATAATAAATTAATTACCCACTTAACTATGCTGATAATTTAATTAGGTGCAAGAACTTGTAAAGAAGGTGGGCTGTGACCTGCCAGCACTGCACAGATCTCTCTTAATTCCCCAAAAATGATTGTGTGTTGTATTTTGTTGGCAGGTTTTGCTTCCTGAGGAACTGTGGCTGTGTGTTCTCTGAGCGTGCTCTCAAGGAAATCAAAGCAGAAGTTTGTCACAAGGTGAGTTTTGCCAGCTGTGGAAGCAGCTGGGCCATGTGTGTGTTTATACAATTGCATTTGCTGCTCTAAAAAGGGATTTTTTAATCTCAGTATGCAAATTGAAATGGAACTTGTGAAAGTTCCATTTGGCCTTAAGTATATCTTCATGGAGTTCTTAATTAAAAACATATTCTAAATAATTATAAAAATGAGTATTTTTGTTCTCAGAGTTCAATTGTGCAGTAACTACTTTTTCCCCAATATTTGGTACTAATTTCAGTTCTTAAAAGGGTGATTGGTTTGGTTTGGGAGTTTTGTTTGATTGGTAATTTTTTCTTCCTGAATGCACATGGCTCGTGTTTTCTCAGTACCTGTTCTGTGGTTAAACTGGTTCTATGTTCAGGTTAATTTTTGTATTTTTGAGGACATTGGGCATTGCTTTTTTTGTTATTTTTGGGTGGGGCCAACTTTGTAGAATTCTCAGCAGTTCTATAAATTATTGTAGAAAATACTGGCCTAATTTCACATAGCTGATCTCATGGTACAGGTTTTTTTGTAGCTAAAGAGAATGATAAAATGAGCAAATACCCTTTTTTCCTATCACTACTTTCATTATCAGCAAGATTGGGCAGTTATTTAATTTCTGTGAACACCCTGATATTGTATAAAATATAGAATATATTTATATTACACCAGACCTGGGAAGGAAACACTTTTGTCTTGGTAAATTGTTGAATTTTGTAAGGTTTAATCTCATATTGCTGCTTTCAATGCTCATTTTGTTTTGTCCTAATGGCTTTGTTTCCTCTTGGCAGATATTCATTTATTTTTAATGAGGGTTTTTTTGTTTGCATCTAAATTTTTGTTGATGGATGGGTGTAACCAGAGCATAAAATTCAGGAGTGAGATGTTTTTGTCCAGGGTTTGCCCAGTCTGATAATTTTATAAAAACCAAATGAATCTCACCTATTTTTCCCTGGCCTTTTTTTCAGTAATGAGTATTTAGCATGGAGCTGGAAATTCTTCATAACATTCAGAAAGATTCTTCTAGAAATAATTGATAAAGAAGTTCCTATGGATGTAAAATATGTTAGAAGTGTGTGGGGACAGGAATGAGGTTCTGGGATTGGTGCTGGAGTCCTGGGGGTCACTTTGAAAATTACATTTAACTTTCCAAAATGTAATCAAAGATTACATTTCAAATGTACTTTCTTGGATCCCTCCAAAGTTTATTTTGGACTTGTTTTCAGAGTCAAGTAAACACAGACTTGAACCAGTGCCCTAAATATTCAGCTCTGTGCCATATCAAACACTTAAGCCCAGGTTTAATTTAGATATGAAGCTTTCTGAAATTTAGATATGAATTTATGCTTTTCTGAATTTATGCCATGGCTGTCAGATGCAGAGCTAGGTGTGCAGCTCACTTTGGAACTTTCTGCTCCTAGGGTACCAAATTAACAAATATTTGCTGAGGTCTGATTGAGAAACTCCTAACATAATAACCCAGAATTCATGAAAGCTTTCCATGTGTGTTTCAAGGTGATGTGGTCATGTAATCACAATAATGAGCTGAATAATATTTCTTATTACTTGAGAATGGTTTAATGATGATTTTCCTAAAATTTTGTTTCAAATCCAAAATCCTTTAAGTGAAGAAGGTCATGCTGCAAAGACATTTCCAAGTCATACCAAAATTGTATTTTCAGAGGCTTTTTTGTGCAGGTTTTTTGCCTGGTTCAGTTTCTGCAAAAGGAGCCCATGATACACAGTGCCTGGCTATTGAACTTTTCATTTTAATTCAATTTGCAAGTGATGCACAACAATTTTTCTATGTAGTGGTGCCAGGGGTGAAAGCTGGAGACTGGGTTTGCTGCACTGATGGCAATAAGGAACCTTCTATTCTCATTTTAAAAGACATCATGGAGTGGATAAATGCTGGCAGTGCCCCACAGTGGACTGGAGAGAAATTAATTATGAATATTGCAGTGATTAGTACATGGCAGACACTCATTAGCTTCAGTCATGGTTTGGAGAGAGACTCTCAACAAGCTCAGCATGAACATGTGCCTGGCTTTTATTTTCCTTTTCTTTTTTAGCTTTATTTCCCTCCATAAAAAAAAAACTATCTCCAGCAATATTTAGCCTCAGGATAAGTCCTGGATTATCCATGAAACCCAGCACAGGGCTTTGGGTTGAATTTGTAAATAAATAGGGACCAGCTGGCTTTTCTTTGGGTTAAAGTTCATTTGCAGAAATGATGTTTCCAATAAACTTGTGTGGGAAAATGAGGAATAAAGTTCCAGCAACCTGGGAATAAGTTTGGAACAAGGAACTTTCATGTCTTGTTGCTGGGTAATTTGATTTTTTTTGAGAATAGGCTCAATCTGTAGCCAGTTTTCTTGTAAAAACTCGGGGATGTTTTGGGTGGATATTGAAGATTGCATTGAAATTGCTCCTTTTTAAATTTATTTTTTATTTGTTTATTTCATTTTTATTAATAGTTTGCAGTTTTTAATCAATTGAGTTGTCCAGGTGTTACTGCACTTGCTGCAGGATCTTTGCTTCTCTCAGTCAGGGATGGAAAAATATTTGAAAAAATGGCTTTTTGCTCAGTTTTCCTGTAATCCCTGGCCTCACATTTTCCCTGTCTCCTTGCCCTAAACTCCTGCAGAGACTCAGAACAGACTTGGAGATAAAGATAAACATGTGCTGCAGGATCCTTCTGTCATTAGGAGCAGGGCAGCAGTGATGTTGCCATGCTACAAAATGAAATTAAGGATGTGCTGGCCCTGGGAAACAAAAACAACCCCTCAGCCCCCAGTGGCAGGGGCTGCTTGTCACTTCTGTACAACCTCTGAAATTTCAGCATCAACTTCAGTATTCAAAACATTTCACAAGACATTCAGTGGCCAAGACTGAATTTGTTATTTCCCCATATTTTATATTTGTTCAGTCACTGCTTCCATTTTATTATTTTCATGCTTTGGCTGTGAACATGAGGAATATTAATTTTCCAGCTAAACAAGTCACTTAATGAACGATGAACTTCCCCCCCTTGAATTCAGGCATTGTTTGGGAATGAACCCATTGCTATGGGAATAAATAAACAAACCCATTTATGTGCAGGATTGTGCTTTACCCTGGATGCACAGAG